AGAGACAATGGAGAAGCTCAGTATCATCAGTCAGAACTAGGCTAGGGACCAACAGAGGATCAGACCATCAACTGCTCATATGCTGGTTCAAACTGAAACTGAAGAAAATGAAACAAGTCCACAAGAGCCAAGGTATGACCTTGAGTATATACCAACTGAATTTAGAGACCATCTAAAGAATAGATTTGATGCACTGGAAACTAATGGCCAAAGACCAGACTAGTTGTGGGATGACATCAAGAACACCACACATGAAGACAGCAAAAGGTCATTAAAAACACAGGAAAGAAAGAAAAAACCAAAATGGATGTTAGAAGAGATTCTGAAATTTGTTCTTGAACACAGAGTGTTGTTGTTGTTGTTATGTGCCGTCAAGTCAGACCCGACTCATAGCGACCCCTCCTTGGGTTTCCGAAGCAGTATCACTATGGAAGTAGATTGCCCCATCTTCCTTCACAGAGTAGGTAAAGTAAATGGAAGGAATGCTGAAGTAAAAAACCTAGACAGAAAATTTCAAAGGTCAGTTTGAGAAGACAAAGTTAAGTATTATAATGAACTGTGCAAGACCTAGAGTTAGAAAACCAAAAAGGAAGAAAAAACATGCTTGACATTTCTCAAGCTGAAAGAACTGAAGAGAAAATTCAAGGCTCTAGTTACAATATTGAAGGATTCTATGGTTAAAATATTGAATGATGCAGGAACCACTGTACCAAAAAAAATGTTCGACGTTCAGTCATTTCAGGATGTAGCTTGATGTGGTCCATGGTAGGCACCTCATCCACTAATGCTCTGAATGTTTTTAGTGCCTGTATAGACTTCTACCACCTGTCTGTTACAAACTGTCCACAAACTGTCAGCTTGTCATACTATGGTGGCTTGTTTGTTGCTATAATGCTGAAAGCTATGTGCCAGTATTTCAAATACCAGCAGGATCACCCATGGTGGACAGGTTTCAGTGAAGCTTCCAGACTAAGACAGACTAGAAAGAAAGGTGTGGTGATCTACTGCCAAAATTAACCAGTGAGAATCTTACGGGTCACAACAGAATATTGTTCAATATGGTGCTGGAAAAAGAGTCTCGTGGGTTAGAAGGCACTCAAAATACACAGTGACACAATGGATTCAAACATACAGTGATGTTGAAGATGATGTAGCACTGGGCCTTCTGCTGGACGTTACGTTGCCATGAGTTGGAGCCTACTCCACCTGCAACTAATAACATCAACTACGGTATTTACTGAAAACCAAGTACCACCCTCATTTAATCCCCACATCAACCCTGAGGAAAATGAGGCACAGTTGTTGTTGCTGTTCGGTGTCGTCGAGTTGGCTCTGACTCATAGCGACCCTGTGTACAACAGAATGAAACGCTGCCCAGTCCTGTGCCAGCCCCACAATCCCTGCTGTACCTGAGCCCATCGTTGCAGCCACTGTGTCAATCACCTCATTGAGGGCCTTCCCCTTTTTCACTGACCCTTCACTTTACCAAGCATGACATCCTTCTCCTGGGAATGGTCCCTTCTGACAACATGACCAAAGTAGGTGAGACCAAGTCTGCCCATTCTCGCTTCTAAGGAGCATTCTGGCTGCACTTCTTCGTCGTCTTCTTTTTTTTTTTTTTTTTTTAATTTTTATTGTGATTTGGATGAAAGTTTACCAAGCAAATTCACTTTCCATACAGCAGCTCACATACACTTTGTCTCATGACATTGACTGTAATTACCCACAATGCAACAGCTTCCCTTCCACTTCCTCCCCATAGTTACCTCTTCCCTGTGTTCTTCCCTCCCATGTACTCCTACCCCCCGAACTGTCTCCCTGTGCATACACAGACGTTCTATTCTCCCATGATTGTTCTCTCCAAGGAGTGTGTCTACCTACTATAAATGTTCACCAGCTGCACTTCTTCCAGGACAGATCTGTTAGTTCTTCCGGCAGTCGATGGTACTTTCAGTGTTCTTTGCCAACACCACAACTCAAAAGCAACAACTCTTCTTTGGTCTTCCTTATTCATTGTCCAGCTTTCACATGCATATGAGGCAACTGAAAATACCATGGCTTGGGTTAGGTTCGCCTTAGTCTTCAAAGAGACATCTTTGCTCTTCAGCACTTTAAAGAGATCTTTTGCAGCAGATTTGCCCAGTGCAATATGATGTCTGATGTCTTGACTGCTGCTTCCATGGGTGTTGATTGTGAAACCAAGTAATATGAAATCTTTGACAATTTCAATCTTTTCTCCATTTATCGTGATTCTGCTTATTGGTCCAGTTGTGAGGTTTTTTGTTTTCTTTATGTTGAGATGTAATCCATACTGCAGACTGAAGTCTTTAATCTTCATCAGTAAGTGCTTCAAATCATCTTCACTTTCAGCAAGCAAAGTTGTGTCATCTGCATATCGCAGGTTGTTAATGAGTCTTCCTCCAATCCTGATGCTGTGCTTTTCTTCATACAGTCCAGCTTCTTGGATTATTTGTTCAGCATACAGAGTAAATAAATATGGTGAAAGGATACAATTCTGACATACACCCTTCCTGATTTTAAACCATGCAGGATCCCCTTGTTCTGTTTGAACAACAGCCTCCTGGTCTATGTACAGGTTCCTCATGAACACAATTAAAGTCTGGAATTTCCATTCTTCTCAATCTTATTCATAATTTGTTATGATCCACACAATCGAATGCTTTTGCATAGTCATAAAACACAAGTATCTCTCTGGTATTCTTTGCTTTCAGCAAAGATCCACCTGACATCAGCAATGATATCCTTTGTTCCACATCCTCTTCTGAATCCAGCTTGTATTTCTGGAAGTTCCCTGTCAATATGCAGCTGTAACTGTTTTTGAATTATCTTCAATAAGATTTTACTTGTGTGTGATATTAATGATACTGTTCAATAATTTGCACATTTTGTGGGATCACCTTTCTTTGGAATGGATACAAATATGGATCTCTTCCAGTCAATTGCCAGGTAGCTGTCTTCCAAATCTCTTGGCATAGGTGAGTAAGTTCCTCCAGTGTGGCATCCATTTGTTGACACATCTCAATGGGTATTCGGTCAATTCCTAGAGCCTTGTTTTTCACCAGTTCCTTCCGTGCAGCTTTGACTTCTTCCTTCAATACTGTCGGTTCTTGATCATATACCACCTCCTGAAATGGATGAACATCAACCAGTTATTTTTGGTATAGTGACTCTGTATTCCTTCCATCTTCTTTTGATGTTTCCCATATCATTCAATATTTGCCCTTAGAATCTTTCAATATTGCAACTCGAGGCTTGAAATTTTCCTTCAGTTCTTTCAGATTGAGAAATGTTAAGTGTGTTCTTCCCTTTTGGTTTTCTAACTCCGGTCTTTGCACATTTCATTATACTAATTGACTTTGTCTTCTCGAGCTGTTCCTTGAAATCTATTCAGCTCTTTTATCTTATCATTTTCATTTGCTTTAGCTACTCTGTGTTCAAGAGCAAGTTTCAGAATTTCTTCTGACATCCATGTTGGTCTTGTCTACCTTTTCTGTCTTTTTAATGACCTTTTGCTTTCTTCATGGATAAAGGGATGTTCTTGATATCATCCCACAATTCCTGTGGTTTTCAGAAATTGATGTTCAGTGTATCAAATCTATTCTTTAGATGGTCTCTAAATTCAGGAGGGACATAATCAAGGTCATATTTTGGTTCTTGTGGACTTGTTTTAATTGTCTTCAGCTTCAACTTGAACTTGCATAGGACCAGTTGGTGGTCTGTTCCACAGTCAGCTCCTGGCCTTGTTTTGGCTGAAGATATTTAATTTCTCCATTGCCTCTTTCCACAGATGTAGTCAGTCTGACTCTTGTGTACTCCATCTGGCAAAGTCCATGTGTATAGCCACCATTTATGGTGTTGAAAAAAAGTATTTACAATTAATAAGTCGTTGGTCTTGCAAAGTTCTATCATGTGATCTCTAGTGTTATTTCTATCACCAAGGCTGTATTTTCCAACTACTGGTGATTTTTCTTTATTTCCAACGTTTGCATTCCAATCACCAGTAATAATCTACACATCTTGATTGCATGATTCGGTCAATTTCAGACTGCAGAAGTTGGTAAAAATCTTCAATTTTGTCTTTGGCTTTGGTGATTGGTGCACGAATTTGAATAACTGGTTTTCCTTGTAAGTGTATGGATATTATCCTAACACTGACAGCACAGTACTTCAGGATAGATTTTGAAACATTGTTTGTGACAATGAACGCTACACCATTCCTCTCGTCATTCCCGGCATATTAGATCATATGGTTGTCTGCTTCAAAATGGCCAAAACCAGTCCGTTTTAGCTGGTATTTGAAATATTGGTGGCGTATCCTCTAGACTCACACCCACAGGCAAGCCACCCCTGACAGATGCGTGGGAGATGAGGCACAGAGGCACAGAGGGGTCAAGTAATTTGCTCAGGATAACACAGCTAGTAAGTGACAGAGCTGGGATTAGAACTCAGTAAGATGGGCTAAGGTGTAACAATGATTGTGAGGCTGGCGCAGGACCGGGCAATGTTTCCTTCTGTTGTGCATAGAGTCGCTGTGAGCCAGGGCCAACTCAACCTAACAACAAACCTGGTTGTAGAGCCCTTTTTTCTTTGCAGCTTCTCAGAGAATTTATCATATTTATTGTGTGTATCCCAACCATACTCTAGAATGTCCCCTCCACCAGAAGCTGTTCATTGTTTCGCCCCTCGAACCACGCCCCGCATTCAGCAGGCGCTCAATTTATACAGAAATAAACCGGCACAGACTCCGGCAGCCGCCTTGCAGCCCGCGCAGGCGCAACAGGCAGGACTACAGAAAGTGCCTCTCCTTGAACCACCTAGGACTAACTGAGGAGCTGCGCAGGCGTAAGATGCTTGACCCGAGACGGTCTCGCCTCGCGCTGATGACTAACATAGGAACAAGCCAATGAAAACGGACCTCTCCCAGAGGGGGCGGGCCTTGCAGGCAGTTAAGTTTGCGCGGGTGTAGCCTTGGCATAGTCATGGCGGCGTTCCGTGATATGGAAGAGTTGAGCCAAGGGCTCCTGAGCCTGCTGGGCGCCAACCGCGCCGAGGCGCAGCAACGGCGGCTGCTGGGACACCACGAGCAGGTTGTGGACCGGCTGCTAGAGGCGCAGGACAGCGCGGAGCGACTATTGCGAGGTGAGGGCCTCCCTCCGGACCCCCCCACCCCGCCCTGCCCCGCCTGTGGGCGCGGCCACCTTGGCCGCAGTTTCCCCACCCATGAAAGGGGCATCGTGACAGCGACCATACAAACCGCAATGCGCTGCCATCGACTCGGATCCGACTCACTCACAGCGACCCTCCTTGGGTTTCCGAGGCGGTATCTCTACTGAAGTAGATTACCCAACCTTCCTTCCGAGGAGTGGCTGGTGGGTTTGAATCGCCAGCCTTCTGGTTAACAGTCAGGTGCCTTAGGCATTACCACCAGAGCTCCGTACAGCAACCATGTTGTTGTTGTTATTTGCCGTCGAGTCGGCTCCAACTCATAGCGACCCCTCCGAGGGTCGCTTCCGTTTTGTCGTTCCGAGGCAGTATCACTACGGAAATTAGGATTGCCCAACCTTCCTTCTGAGGAGTGGCTGGTGGGTTTGAACCACCAGCCTTCTGGTTAGCAGTCAAGTGCCTTAGGCACTATGCTACCAGGGTAAATTTAGTGGTGCATATAGGCGCTCACAGGGCCTAGTCCATTCTGACTCCCGGGACTCCGGGGGTCCAAGCGTCAGGTTTGAATCCTGGCACACCTACTTCCCAGCTTTGGGGTGAGAGGTGAGTTACATAACTTCTCTGTACTTCAGTTTCTTAGTTTGTAAGGTGGTTATAGCAATAGTCCGCACGGCCCTCCTAAGGTTGCGTGGATTTGTTACCGAGCACCTGCTGTGTACCATGCGGGGTGGCAGCCATGGGGTCGCAAATGCTTTGTGAGCGAGTCGATTTTGACTCATAGCGACCCTCTAGGACAGTAGAAGTGCCCTATAGGTTTTTCAAAGCTATTATCTTTACGGGAGCAGATTTCCAGGTCTTTTCTACCGTGGAGACGCTGGTGGGTTTGAACCACGCGACCTTTTTGGTTAGCAGTGAAGCACTTAACCACTGCGCCACCAGGGCTTCCCCTGGGATGGCAGCAGAGGACAAAATCCCAAACCCCTGCCCTTGGGGAGCCAACACACTAGTGGGGGAGATGAGGGAAATAAGAAAAATAGGTATGTTGGTAGGTGATGGACTAAGGAGGGATGGTGAGGTTTTGTTTGGGGGAGGGGATCAGCAGAGGCCTCTGAGGAGGTGATGGTTTTACATATCGAGCACTTGATAAATATCACCCTTTTCATCGAATCTAAGAGTCTTACAAGTAAAGGTGATGAATGTCTTCACAAGCCACCGCTGGGCAGGTGCAAGGGGCTTGTCCGGAGACCCCCCCTGGGTTTCCACTGTTAACTCACAAGCCCTGTGGTCCCAGTCAGGTCAATTTCTTCCATGAGCCTCAGTTTCCTTACCAGTGAGATGGGGCTAGTGACTGAAGTGAGGGCCTGTGGGGGTGATGCTTGCATGGCATGATGCCTGTTAGTCGCCTGGGCAGGTGGGGCCTCCATTGTAACTGCTGTTCTTCATGCCAAAAACAAAAAACCCACACCTGTTGACATCTGGTTAATTCTGCTTCCTGGCAGCCTCAAGTGTTTCGGGATTCCGACTCCTGGTGACCTCTGTGTGTCCGAGTGGAACTGTGTTCCACAGGGTTTCAGTGACTGATCATTTGGAATTCCATTGCCAGACCTTTATCTGAGGCCCCTCTGGGTGGATTTGAACTCCTAACCTTTTAGTTAGTAGCCAAGTGCTTAACTGTTTGTGGCACCCAGAGATTCCTAACAACATAGCCAGGTGTTTTAAATTCATTGAAAAAGCCTTTTTTTTTTTTTAAATATAGACTTTATTTTTCAGATAGTTTTAAGTTTGCAGAAATATTATACAGAAAGTACAGGGATCCCATCTACCTGCTCTCCCCTGCACAGTTTCTCCTGTTATTAAAGTCTGGCGCTCTGTGGTACATTTGTTAAAATGAGTGAACCAATACCAAAAAACCCACTGTCATGGAGTTGATTCCAACTCATAGAGACCCTATATGACAGAGTAGAACCACCTTATATAGGGTTTCCAAGGCTATAAATCTTAATGGAAGCAGACTGCCTCATCTTTCTCCTATGGAGTGGCTGATGGATTTGAACCGTTGAGCTTTTGATTAACAACCACATTTTTTAACCACTGTGCCACCACAACTCCCTCAGTGAACCAATAGTGATAGATTATTATTAACGAAAGTACATAATTTACATTAGTGTTAAATGAGGTCGGGAGGTGAGTCCAGGAAAAAAGTGGTAGGAACTGAGGTCAACAGGGGCCAGACCCTCGCTGCCCTTGTGAGCTCTCCTGAAGAGTACAGATGTTATCCTAAGCCTGCTGTGCCAGTTAGGGGCCTCCCTCTGTTGATGGTTTGGGGGAATGAATGACATGACCTAACCTGCCTGGGTTTTAGCAGAAGGGATAGATTTGGGGCAGATGAGACTGAGAGGTGGCCTTTGAGGGAGGGAGCTGGGACTTTTGAGTCTAAGGAATCCCTGTTCCAACCCTGGCAACTTTGAAGCTGTGTGTCTGAGGGAAAATCACTGAACCTCTCTGGGCCTCTGCTCTTCCCCTTGCCAGTGAGAGATGGGCCTAAGATTAAGGTTGTTAAGAGCAGTAGGTCCTGAGTTATCCCAGGGCCCTCGACACCCACTCAGTTCCTGTGCTTCGTGGTCTACCTCCCCAGGGAAGAAATCACTGTCCTGGAAGTATCAGAGATGACTTAGTTGTCTGTCTGTTGAGAGGATGAGCGGAAAAGGGGCAGGAAGACTGTGTAAGAGAGCCAGACCCTCAGCTGTCAACACAGGAAATCAGCAGGCACTGTCTGAAATGGACAAATCAAGAAATAGCAGCATAAGCAAATTATTTAGAAATATGGAAGTCAGTGCCAGAGAAAACAGCTCAAGAGTTGAAAGTGGCTGCTTCCAAGGGCTGAGGAGGCTGGGAGTAGGGTTGTGTGTGTGTGTAAAAAGCTTAAAATTTCTATAACCATGTACATGTAATACTTTGATACAAAATTAAAATTAACTGTACATTTTTTAAAATGTCACCACTGGCCCTGGGAAGCCTTTTAATCTGTGCCTTCTTTCCCTGACTTCCTGGGAGAGAACACAGTAGCCTTCCTAAGATGTTTTTAAACTTCCTGGGTGTTTTGTTCAGTGAATATTCCTTCTGGGTCAATGCTGGAACCGCATGGTGAATATAAGACACGGTCTCTGATTCAGAGAAGGATGAGGAATTAATAACCCAGTGTGATGAGGCCTCTTGTTGAGCTCAGTCATGCCCCCCGGGGGAGGGGCAGAGGGGTAGACAGAAGCCTAGGACTGTGAAGACCATGGCATGTTTACAGAATGATGGTGCCTTTGTGGCCAGAGCAGAGAAGTACACAGTGGGGAGAAAACCAGGGAGAAGAGAGGCTGGTGGGGGATGATGAAGGGGCTGCAGGGAATCTGGACTAATCAGAGATGCTGGGAGCTATGGAAGGTCTTGGAGCAGGGGACTGACGTTGCGCTTGGTCTCCATCGTACCACCCTGGAGGCAGAGAAGAGACTGGATTGGCACACAGGGAGACAAAAGCAGGGAGCATCTGCGGGAGGCTGGCATGTTGGAGGATTGAATGGGGGCCCCCTGGGGACTGGCTTGAGGAGGGTGAGAAGGGCCTGGAGTTGGGCTGGAAGAGGGACAGCTGCTGGACCTGAATAGCTGACAAGATGTGGAAATTAAGTCCCAGATTTCTTGCCGGGACGACGGTAGACCATGGTGTACATTCAGAGTAGCTGTGCAGGAAAGGACCCGAGCTTATTCTTCTTGGTGTATTTCCGATGGTTTTGGTGACAGGGCGGTCCTTTTGCAGGGTCTGGGTGAAGCTGTGGGAGGCATTTGGAAATGGGGCGAGCAGGTCAGGAATTGCAGAACGGTAAGTGGGGTATTTGCTGGAGTTGGGGGAGAGGATGTACCGCCCTCCCCTGCTGCATGGCTCACCAGGTGAAGGATGGGCCTGGGCAGGGGAGTCTGCGTGCAAGGGGCAGAACCTTCTCTCCCTCCAACAGAGATCCTCACCACTGAGAAGGAAGTGGCCCAAAGCCTTCTCGACACGAAGGAGAAGGCGCACCAGGGGAGTACTGAGTTGCAGCAGCTTGAAGCTGAGCTGCAGAAGGCCAGTGAGGAGGACACCTGCCTGAAGGCCAGCCTCCTATATCCTTTTCCGCATGCGCAGACTGGGGCAGCCTCAGCCATGCCGGAGAGGCATGGGTTTAAAATGTGCTTGGAGCCAGAGGCCTCGGGTGTGGGCTGCTGGAGTCAGCACTTGGGCAGCTCTCCAAAGCACGTGATCCTTAACCACCTGCCCTACTCAGCTCACCAGAGAGCTGGAGGAGCTCAAGGAGCTGGAGGCCGACCTCCAAAGACAGGAGAAGGAAGTTGACGAAGACACGACGGTCACCATCCCTTCAGCCGTGTAGGTGCTGCTGGCATGCATGTTGGGTCCGTGTCTTGATTTCAGCTCTTTGTTGGAGTCGATTCTGGCGTAACTTCCTTTTTGTCTTCCGGTCCAGGTATGTGGCTCAGCTTTATCACCGGATCAGTAGAATCGAGTGGGATTATGAATGTGAGCCAGGCACGATCACAGGCAGTATCCTTTCCACGCGGGGTTGGGGGGGGGCCGTGCAGGCCACAGTGACTTTCCTTACATTTGCCCCGCAGTCCATCACGGCCCCAGCGTCGCCCAGCCCATCCACCTGGACAGTACTCAGCTCTCCCAGAAATTCATCAGTGACCATCTCTGGAGCATGGTGGACACCGAGTGGTAGCCATTGTCTTGGGCATAGTTGAGGGGGGTCAACTGGGGGGTTGGTAGGACATCAGTGTTGGCATTAGTGTGACATTACATGTTTATACATACGTGGGTTCTACTGGGTTTCTTCCCACCTTCCCCTGATTCCGCTTTAGTTCCTAAACTAGCCTCAGCCAGGTAAACAGAAAGCACTCACTTGACTTATTTGGGGTATACCTCTGAGAGGTACTGGGTATCTAGCACTGGGCTAGGCACCAGAGACACAGGAGGCAAGCGACCGGGGTCCATCTAGCTGGTGGGGACGGTGTCAGGCACAGACACAGATGCTACCCTTGAGTAGAACGAGGTCCTGCCTGCTGCAGGAGCACACAGGCTGAAGGACCTGGGCCTGGGAGAATGAGTGCTTCACAGAGGAGCGGGTGGCTTTGGTGCCAGGACACAATGGTGAGGAGTCGAAGTTGCGAGAACCAGAGTCCCGGAGGGGCAGTTACCTTCTGGGGTGTCCATTCTGAGGAATCTCATGCAGCTGGGAGGGGGCGCCCATGACAGCCCGTTGAGTGTTACCTAATTCAGAGGACGACAGACCACTCATTGAAACTGCCATGTGATGGGTGGGGGGGTGAAGTATGCAAGCAGTCCTGCAGCAGACACACCAGGTGCTCCCCCACTCTCAGTGTATATGGCTTGTCTAGGGACCCATTCCTGGCTCCAGGGTGGCATGTGTCAGAGACCACTGGCTGCCTCCCTAGCATTCATTCTCCTTCCCTCCTTAGTAAGGAAACCCTTTTAACTGCCCAGTTAAAACACATTTCCAAGTCTTTCTTACAGCTAAGTTCAGACCAATAAAATGTAAGTAGGAATGCTGTCAAGACTTCTAGAAGGATCCATAAAGGCAAGGGAGTATACCCTTTCTGGAATTTGGATGTGATGGCTGGAGCCTAGGCAGCCATAGTGGTACATGTAAGGAGGGGTATAGTCCTCTGGGGCTGACAGGAGCCTGGTTCCCTGATGATGATGGAGCAAGATATCAGCCCTGGATTTTTTTAAATTACATAATTAATTTTGTTGTTGTTTGAGAATGTGCACAGCAAAAATATACCAGTTCAAGTTTTTACATGTGCAATTCAGTAATACTGATGACATTCTTTGAGATGTACAGACATTCTCACCTCCTTTTCTGTTTATTAACATAAACTCACTGCCCTCTAAGGTGCCTATCTAATCCTTTCAGTGGCTATTGTCAGTTTGATCCCATACATATAGTTCTTGAAAGAGCATAATTCTCAAAGCAGACATTCTTTACTAGTTAAGCTGAAGAATTGTTTGGTTTTAAGAAGACTTCAGGGGATATTTTTGGTATAAGGATTAAAGATTATCTCAGGCCAATAGTTTCAGGTTTTCATCTACTTTTCATGGCTCCAGAAAAGTCTAGAGTCTATGAGAATTTTAAATTCTGTTCTGCATTTTCCCCCTTTTGATCAGGATTCTTCTATAGAATCTTTGATCAGAATGTTCACTAATGGTAGCCAGGTACCATCTGGTACTTCTGGTCTCATGTCAAAGGAAGCAGTTACCCTACACATAGCACTGGACTTCTTTTTTTTTTTTTTTAATTGTGATTTGGGTGAAAATTTACAGAGTAAATTCACTTTCCATACAGCAGTTCACATACAGTTTGTCTCATGGCATTGACTACGATTTACCATAGTGCAACAGCTTCCCTCCCACTTCCTCTCGATAGTTACCTCTTCCCTGTGTCCATCCCTCCATGCATTCCTGCCCCCTGAGCTGTCTTCCTGTGCATACACAGCCCTTCTATTTTCCCATGATTGTTCTCTCCAAGGAGTGTATCTACCTCAGGTAAACGTTCAACTCATATGCCTGTCTTTTGTTTGGCTGGAAGCCACAGGTGTGGGTTCAATTCCAGACCTGAAGGGCAGCTAGGGGCCATAGTCTCAATGATTCCATCAGGCTCTATCAGACCAGCAAACCTGGTCTCCCACCCCCTTTTTTATTTTTCCCACATGATTTTGAGTTTTGTTCCACATTTTTCTCCCTCTCTATCCAGGATCTCCTACATAGATTCCCCCTTCGAGTGGTTGACAGTGGTAGCCAGGCACCATCTAGTTCTTCTGGTCTCATAATTGTATAGGCTACAGATCACATGGTTACCAGTCTCTAGGACTAATTGTTTCCATGAATCTTTGGTTTTCTTCATTCTTCTTTGCTCTGGACAAGGAGAGACCTGTCATCGCATCTATGGCTGCTTACAAGCTTTTAAGAACCCAGTTGCTACTTGCCAAAGTAGGAGATGGAACAATGTTTTGTGTAGTATGTTATGCCAGTTGAGCTTGATGTCCCCTGTGACTATGGTCCCAAGCCCACAGGTTCAACTACTCAGTCCCTCTGGGTAGTTGGCTGTGACCAAGAAGTGACTACAAACTTGTCCCTTGTCAGATCTACTATACAAACAGGAATTCAGATCATACAAATACACTTATAGGACCATTGTCTGCCAATGCTATACATGGTCTTGGGTACACTCCCCACTTCATAGACATACCTACTAGTTCAGCCTGCCCACCCATCTATCTGCCCATATACCCATGTTTGCCTTCACTGACAACGCAGTACTGTATGTGCAAAAGGGTTCATCTTTGTTGTCTGCACCTGCCATGTACCTCTCTATGTCTTCTTTTTCCTCAATGCTGCTGTATTGGTCACTGATATTTGGTACATTGCCCTTCTCTTCACCCAAATCAATACTTATCTACCTATCTAACAGTGTTCCCTCCCTTCCCCTCCCAC